ATTAATTTTAGTTTTTCTAAAATAAGGAAAGCGCCGGTCACGGTAGCCTAGCGGTCTAAGGCGTGCACTGTCTTCGCTCTCTCGGAAGCCGGGATCGTGGGTTCGAATCCCACCCAGGGCATGGATGTTTGTGCGCGTTTTTCTGTGTTTGTGTACAGGTAGAGGCCTTGCGACGAGCTGATCACCCGCCCAAGGAGTCCTACCGAATGTGTAAGATCTAGAAAAACCGAAGTGAACGGAGAAGTTCATGGAGGTAAGCCTAGGCCCACTGGGGCTGTAGCGCCTAGGAAAAGAAAAAGTAAGGAAAGTAGGCTCGACATTTTTGTTAATCTCGGTAGATCTACTTGATTTTTCTCTTTTTGAACCCCCTATTCTTATTGAGTGAACTGATTTTGACATTTAAATGGATACCCTGACCTTTCTTCAAGAGAATTACGCACATTACAGTTTGACGTCACGGTAAATGCTATGTGCTAAATACGAGTATATAGGCGTTCCTGAGATGGTTTGCGTTGATTGAGAATTTTCACAAGTGTCTGCGCGAATCACTACCGGAAGCATGAACACCTGTGATTCAGGATATCAGAGAACTTTCACAGAACTTTCACAGATCATTCTCCCCCTTATACGAACCGTAACAATATGAAGTGAGTCACATTTCTGTTATCAGTCGCGTCATAGTAATTGTTCTCACAACTGTGTTTCGTAACACGGTAATGGGACTTGGGGTTCCATAAAATGTTGGGAAATTCTTGAATAGTTGCATAACTGACGGCTTTTCAAGAAGGGCTCAGTTCCATGGAGTTAGTTACACGATGCTTGTTGCATGCGTAGCTGAAAGTACTTAAATTTCATAAACGTTCATAATCATTCTGGAGTATGAAATGCGTACCTAATTACTTACTTATGGAGCTGAGCCCTTCTTGAGGAGAAGCCAAATCTGCAGCTACTCAAGAATTTCCCAGCATTTTATGGAACCCGAAAGTTCATCACCGTGTTCACAGGAGCCCTCCACCGGTCCCTATCCTGAGCCAGATCAATCCAATCCATATCATCCCATTCTATCTCTCTAAGATACATTTTAATATTGTCCACCCACTTACGCCTTGGTCTTCCCAGTGGTTCCTTTCCCTCTGGCTTTCCCACCAATATCCATATGCATTCCTCTTCCATCACATTCGTGCTACATGACCTGCCCACCTCATCCTCCTTGACTTGATCATTCTAATTATATTTGGAGAAGAGTACAAGTGATGAGGCTCCTCAGTATGCAGTTTTTTCCAACCTGTCACTTCATCTCAGACGTATTAATTCGTAAGTCCTTTTTCGGCAAACATCTCGACACTGGGCGGGGGTGAGTGGTCTGTCTGTCTTACAATCTGACCGCTTTACCCTATGAAAAAGCCTCCAGTGGACGCGTGCCTACGGGTCAGGAGACTGGGCTGGGTCCTACAACCGGTCTGAACGTAGTGGTGGAGGAGACAAGAACCCCTGCTCCTACAAGGAGTCTCAATACTTTGTTACTGTGATGTCTAGGGCGCGGCGAGCTTCAGTACAGTGTCTCGTATATTCTGTGCGGCTAGTGATGAGCTTGCTCACGTAATGTGGTCTGTTGTTTTAGGGTAATCTGTGCATCTTCTTTGTCTGCCTGATTCTGTTTTCCTATCATTATCACCACCACCACATGTGGGATCTATTGTTGAACATGGACTGTACAAAGTGCCTCACAATAAACTTTTGCAAATTTAAATGGGCTATTATGTAACGCAAATACGTATGTATTTTAGTGAATTAGATTTATGAAAATTGCAAATATCTTCATTGAACTGATATATCACCATTTATGAATTTAGTTTACGACTGCGAGCTATCGATGTACTACTACTACTACTACTACTACTACTAATACTACTACTACTACTACAGGCATACCTCGTTTTATTGCTCTTCGAAAATATTGTGTTTTTTACATTTTTAAAGTTTGTGGTAACCCTGCTTTGAGCAAGCATATAGGCGCCATTTTTCTAACAACCATGTGCTCAATTCATGCCTCTGTGTCACATTTTGGTAATTCTCGTAATATTTCAAACTTTTTAATTATTTTTATAACTGTTATGGTGATCTGTGATATTATTATTGTAATTGTTTTGGGGCGCCACGAACTGCGCCCATATAAATGTTGTGTGCGTTCTGACTGTTCTACCGACCGCCCGTTCCCCCATTTCTCTCCCTCTCCTCGGGGCCCTCTGATCCCTAAGACACAACAATATTGAAAATACGCCAATTAATAACCCTACAATGAAATGTTCAAATGAAAGGAAGAATCTCACGTCTCTCAGTTTAATTCAAAAGTTAGAAATGATTAAGCTTAATGAGGAAGGCCATGTCGAAAGCCGAGATGGGCTCAAAACTATGCATCTCGTGCCGACATCTTGTGCCGAACAGCCAAGTTGTGAATGTAAAGGAAAAGTACTTGAAGGAAATTCAGAGTGCTACGACTCGCTGGAAGCTCAGATGGTGGGCAAATGTTTTCATGAATAAATTGTTATTAATTAAGATACGTACATTGTTTTAGACACGATGCTATTGCACACTTAACAGACTAAAGTATAGTGTAAACATAACTTTTATATGCACTGGGAAACCAACAGATTCGTGTGACTCGCTTTATTGCCGTGATCTGGAACCTAACCCGTAACATCTCCGAGGTATGCCTGTAATTGAAAAGCTATTCCCTTGTTAACAAAAGCTGCTTCGTGTAAGATTCCCGCACGCTTTGGAAGACTTCCAGATTTCTAATATCCTTGTAAACCTGTTCTCGATATAAGCAAATTTCATTATCTCGAAGGCCATGAGGCAACTTAAGTGTACTGTCAGGCAGAGAAAAATTCCAAAAATAAACCCGGAATTGATCGTTAAACTAAAATAACGTGAGATATGAGGCGGATGACAGGAGACACAGTGAGCAAGAGCAAAAGCATTGCACGTACAGGATTTGCATTTTAAACTGCCTCGATACACTGATACTGCATACATCACAACAGAAAAATTATAAAACAGGGTTAGATGTGTAACATCAATGTGAACGTATTCTTCGGTGTACATCTTGTCTTGTACTTAAACAACCACGGTTCAGTTTGCTGTAATTTACTTCAGAGAAGGGAACTGCTCGTTTGATCTCGTTGATTCATACGTGTCAGCTTCTCATGTTGAACAAGTAGTGCCAACCTTATCATATAGATCAAATAACTGCTGATTAACAGAATATTACAGTATGTGTGCCATGGCCGCGTTTCAGTTCACTATTTATAAATATTTAATGTTACATAAAGCGTTAAACAAAGCAAGAATCAATCAATCCATCTATGGTCAGACTTCGTAACTGGACACTATATTTAATTTATGTACACAAAAGAAGTGACTGGTTTTCTGAAAATCGGTTTAGTATTGATAACTGTGAGAAATTCAAGCCCTCTTATATAGATTGGTCATCCTGTATCATAAACAGAGAAAAAGCAAAATAGGATTACTTGACGCGATCTTTTCTCGGTTAATTTCAGGAAGATTTTAGGTCCTTCAGTTAGTTCTTGTCCTCCCCATTTTTTTTCTGTGGCGCTCCAGGCCCAATTTGGACCTAGGCCTACCTCCATGAAATTCTCCGTTTCACTTCAGTTTACTAGATCTTACACATGCGGTAGGACTCCTTGGGCGAGTGATCAGCTCGTCGCAAGGCCTCTACCTGTAGACAAACACAGAAAAACGCACACAAATATCCATGCCCTCAGTGGGAACCCACGATCCCGGCTTCCGAGCGAGTGAAGACAGCGCATGCCTTAGATCGCTCGGCTACCGTGACCGGCCTTGTCCTCCCTTACCTCCGTATATTAGGGATATTCGTAACTGAATATTTCAAACCACTTGGATATCTATGGAAATCATGATCAAACTAAAGAAAGGAGATTATTACCAAGGCTACAAAATGCTATAACCGGATTCAGCTTATGTTTTGGAAGAGGAATATGGATTACTGGAAAGAGCGTCAAACTAATATAAACTGCACACGTATTATTTCTTATATCAGTATTAAAAGAAATCCAAAGAGACAAGTTATAACGTCAGAAAATGAGCACACTACAGAATTTCTTGAGTCAAAACCCTAGGCATTTTATGAAGCAAATGCGTGAGAATTCCCACCGCAAATCCGGGACTCTGAGTTTTCTGAATTTCGGTTTCTAACGCGTAGTAAATACGAGTATAATGTAGACTCTCACATATCAGGGGTATGCGTGACTTATAAAACGGGTTTTGGATTCGATGACAGAATTTATTGGACATGTATACTGCCTGTTACAACATTTCACAAGTCACTATCTTTCTTTAAGTGAACCACTCTATACTCTTTCTGGCGTCAAAGTCAAAGCCACATTGCGACTGATGGTCAGTCAGTCAGTAGGTCTTGGTGTCGAGCCCCACCTGGGGCTCATGACCAGATATTTATTACAGTTTGACAGTTACGGTCTTGTTTTATGGGCCGCCCTCTCTCACGAGAGGACGGGTCTGTCTTTTGTATATGCTGTTGACACTTGCCAGCGCAGTCTTTTCGTTGGCCCTCCTTAATGACAAAAAGGTGTTTTAATTATTTTTTTAATTCGCTTAGTGGGGGGTGGAGTCCAACTGGGTCCACTCAGCACGGCGGCCACTGATTGGCCTATTGTAGCCTGCCACGGCTGATTATGATTATGGAGAATTTGGTGGAATGAAGATTGGCAGGGGAAACTGAAATACTCGGAGAAAACCCGTCCCAGGGCCACTTTGTCCATCACAAATCCCATTTGACCAGACCCGGGATCGAACCCGGGCAGCCGCGATAGGAAGCCAGCGACGAACCGCTTGAGCTATGGCACGGCTAAAACTTACCTCACTTTATCCAGTCATAACGCCCTTCAGTGACTGTGCATGCAATACTGTAATATGTTACGTTCCTGTTTTATGTGCTGCAGGTATCGCAGGATGGTGTGTGGCACAGACAAGTTCATACGCTGCTGTTTCATCATATTTTCCCTGTTTCATGGTACCAGCACTTGGCGGTCGGACCGCAGTAAGTAATAAAAATCTGAGCTCTCCACTATGTTGTAAATTTTTGAATCCATGACCTTAAGCAGTAAGCAGTTACGCTGACTGTCAAGGGGGCTAAAATATCCGATATTTAAATTTCAAGGCGAAGTAAGTTCTGTTGTTTCTGGATAACCTATGTTTATTTTAGTAATCACGTTACATGATTTTATGAAAGATGGTGTGACATTTCATGGAAATTTGAATTAAATCTAAAAGGCAAGTTGCATGAATCTCTCTTTAAAGGAGTAGCAAAGGTGTTAGTCCAGGAAACTGCAAAATATGAGGATCGAAATGTGAAGGATATTAAATAATATTATCAGAACTAACAATACATGATAATTACCACAGTATTTCAGTACTGAAATTAATGGTGTATAATCATATTTATAAAAACTTCTTTAAAAAAATGGTTTAGAACTTATTACATCTGTGTAGGTCTTATTTTGTCTTAACTCGAATTTTGTATTCAGAAATTAAGTTTTAAATGGTGTTGAAATAACATATATAATCACATCTTTGATAATAGAGAAAATGAAACAGCGTTCGATCAAGTTGTGTAAAATATTCTTCATTACAACATACGCGTACATCGTACAAATATGATATCTGGAAAAGGTTTTAGATGACAGAAACGCAATTTTTACTTCGGTAAAGAAAACCCAAAACAAATAACATAATTTGATTGCTTGAGAAGATTGAAAAGATTTTAATTAAAAGAATGTTTTAAAAACGAAAACTTAGAAAAGGCTTTTCGGTTATGGAAAATATAGCAATATTTTCTTTGCCCCATAAGATATTATTTTTCAGGAAAAATAAACATTCGGGATTCCTACCGGGATTGCTTTCTCAGTTATTGATATAAAAGGTAAAGTTATCCCTGTAACAGGCCGTGAAGGCCCATAGGGTTTTGAGACGTCGAGGGTCCCATATTTTCTCTAGACAATCAGCTCATAGATGGCGGTAATTTTGTCAGCCTTACGCGCCGGCCACCTTTATCCCCCAGGAAGATTCCTGATAATCATTTCTGTTAGAGGCTGAGTCGATCCCAGGACCATAGTGCTGCTGTGAAGGATAGGGTAATTTAAAAAAAATCGCCTCATCGGGACTCGAATCCGCGACCTTCAAGTTTGTGGCATAGTGCCTCAACCAACTACGCTACCGCGTGCCCCAATATTGATACATACGTTGCATATTTTAAATCCAATCCTTTATTCCTTAATTCTGAAATATGCGTTGGTTTATTCAAATCTAAGCACTGCATTTTGCATAGGGTCACAAGTATTGCTGATTTGGTGGGAGCTCAGGGTTGCAGACGTAGGGACATAGTGAGTAATTAATCACATATTGCGGAACTGCGCTATTTCAGGCCATTACGAACTCACGCACAATTGGAAAATCAGCAGAAAAATTGTATGAAACCAAAGTAGGAGTTGTACTCTTAGGGGTCTCCAAGGACTAGATTTGTAAGCCGGATTGTAGTGCTCAACAACTGACGTGAACAGGGGGGGGGGAGTATCGGCTTCTATCGAGCCTAGCTCCAGGCAACATATTTCTACGGAAGAAATTCTAATATTTTACGAACATCTTCTTCTACAGAAGTGAGTAGTTGGAATAGGACTTAGGTCCTGACTGTGTTAAGATGGTAATCTGCGAGTAGGTCGAATGATTGGAAAGAGGGAAATGAGTAGAAATATGAAGAATAACAAGCATTGATGGAATATTGAATTTCATTATCTGCAGGTAACGTAAGATAAACTGCAAACAATGCCAAAGATCCTTGTTGTGCCACGTGATGTGACGAATGTCCCACAATCTGACGCAGCGAATCGTGGACAGGCGAGACTCAAATACCTGGAACTCTAAGGGCGATGACACAAGGGGCGGTTGTGCCGACTCGGCGGCCGAGTCGGCCGCAGCCTTGTGACAAGACACACGATGTTGCACGCCGACTCGGTGGCCGCGTCAGTAACTGCTGAGAATGTATTCAATCTATGGAGCAAGTCTTCAAACCGCTCGCTGCACCGCCTGCAGACGAAAGGCCGAGTCGGCAAATCTGCCACCTGTCGGCGAGCACCGCCTTGTCTATTTTATCCCATCTGATGCAATAGAACTACGCGCCGAGTCGGCGAAAATCGCTCCGTGTGTCATCGCCCTAATTGATTCAACGCCCTCGGCAGTTGGCAAAGAAATTAGTGTATTTCTTCTCCCCTTACCGAGGCTACCCAAGGGAAGCAGGCAGAGTATTTCAGGAACGGCTGGTGGTAGCGCTATGTAGGGCGGAGATGCCTAGAGGGAGAGCTGTTGGGGCAGGGATCTCAAGTACAAGCAGAGCTGGGTCCACCCAGCCTCCTATCTAATGATTATCAGGGGCTATCTCACTGGAGGTAAAGCGGGAGGGTCGTGAATCCCTCCACTCATCTCAATCGAATTCCAAGATTAAGAATGCATGGAGATATACCTTCACTCCCCCATACGCCATCATGCCATGGTGCTTAAATAGTTAAGCACATAGATAAATTCACTGTCCATCTCCAGCCTACTTTCGCAGGCAGGCAAATTTTGGGACTTTCTCAATCAAAGGTAAAGATTAAGCTATCCCTGTAACAGGCGGTGGTGGCCCATAGGGTTGTGAGATGTCGAGGCTCCCACATCTTCTAGACACTTGGCTCTCAGGTAGAGATTAGGTTGTCAGCCTTACGCGCCGGACGCCCTTTACCCCAAGGAGAATTCCTGGTAATCATTTCTGTTAGAGGCTGAGTCGATCCCAGGGCTATAGTGTGGTTGAAATGATTAGGTAAATTGAAAAATCGAATGACCTCTTCGGGAAAAGAACCCGCGACGTTCCGGCTTGTAGCATAGTTCCTCAGTCACCTACGCTACCGCATTCTCAAGTCAACCCATATCATATAATTTTATTTTACATCGGCTGTGTCATCTCTTATGTGAACAAATTCTACTGTAGAAATTAAAAGAATTTCACAGATCGTTGCGTGTGCTGCTGATGGTGATCTGTTACACAGAGATTAATGATTAGGCTGAGGGATCAATGAATCGGTGTTATATTCTCGGTTGCGGTAACAGCTTGTTCTCGATTTCACAGCTTCCAAACCGGCTCTGGGACTCACCTAGCTGCGTATGCAATGGCTACCGGTGATTATTTCCTTGGGGATAAAGCGGCTGGGACGTGAATCTGACCACTCATATCCGTCAAGTGTTCATGTTAAATATGTGTGGAGCTATACTTCCACTCATTCATACGTCTACAAGACCTTGTGTTTAATTAAGGATACGTCCAACGCTATCCTTTTCTTTATAACACTAAAGCATGGAGGTTACTTTATAAACCGTCCAGGATGACAATACAGAGTTAAATATAGAAAATTTGAAGTGAGATGGAACGTAAGAAAGGAAACAGCAATTCTTTTGAGGTAGTTTATTTAAAAATTGATGTTTGTAAGAATCGAAACTGCCTGTCATGGTAGCCGAGCGGTGTAAGGCATGTACTGTTTTCGCTCGCTCGGAAGTCGGGAACTTGGGTTCGAGTTTTACACACGGTATGGATATTTGGTAGGTGCATATGTTTCTTCTGTGTTTAGATAAAGGACTTGCGATGAGCTGATCACTTGTGCAAGGAGTCCTACAGTCTGTAAAATGAGTATGAAACTGAAAATAAGAGGCCAGGGACCAAGGGGTCTGTAGAGCCAGTGAAAAAATAATCGAAACTACGAGGGCAAAAACTAATTTAACGTTTTCTCATTGCCTAGCGCGAGATTCTTTCAGACACTACATTGTCTTTTGAGCAGTAAGAATACGCTTGCGCTTTCAACATAGCTGTTCCATTGATAGAATTAACCAAAGAAGAGAAACGACCAGTGATCCGATATTTTGCGATGAAAAGACGCGAAAAGTAGTGCAATGAGCGGAAGAATGGCGTTTCAGGTGGCCAGAGGAGCGTTTCTGGTTGGGCGGATTCAGGGTATTATTGCTTTCGAGTGTTGATTTTGCGAGTTCTTGGGGGGGGGGGGGTCGACAGTAAAATATATTGTGGTAAGGAAGCATATTTAATAGCGTGTTCGGTACAAACGAACTATCAGCATTAACGAACCTATTTTTCGATTGATCACCAATCGTAGAAAGAAATGACTCATGTATTATTTCAGTTTCTATGGAGTCAGTAAACATGTGAAACATTAAACTAAATACCTATAAAACCTGGCTATTACATTAAAAAATAAAACATAGACAAATAATTTGTGATTAATAAAGAGATTAATAAAAACAATTTAATTTCAATTTACTTCACTATTTTTGCTTACTCGTAAGGAGATTATGGGAAAAATTTAACTTCTGCTGCATCCCAAATTAGCTACTCTCCTGAAAGTAACCTTACATTATTTTATGTAGGACCAACAGTTTATTCGAAACAAACTTGAACATTACACAGCTAACACGTTCCTTTACCTATCAGAAAAGTTCATGTACTGTTGTTTCGTTGTTAATACAAAAATTGTGTTGAGCATTGTCCATTGTCTCTGGAATACGTGATGTGAACACGCATCGGAAATCGAACCCGTTTCCTTCATCCGGTGCAATGGAGGAAAGGATCCTGCATAGCTGGGCCCGTAAGAAAGAGGGTTTCGACAATATCACGTGTATCAAGTATGCCTACCCGAAACAATGGGCTATGTTCAATATTCGTATGACCTTGAATAGAGAATCAACCATTGATCAAGACTCAATTCGTTGTTAACAAAAGCACTTCTTGTTACTTCTTGCTGTTCAGGGCCACAGGTTTACGGCGACAGGATACCTCGGCGAGCACTCGAACCAGTGCACAAACGAGTACAGAGGAACATCGTGCTATACCACAACTTCTTTCGGACACGTGTCACCCCTCCCGCAGCAGACATGCTGAGGATGGTGAGGACAACAGGCTCTTAAAATGGTAGTTAGAACGTGAGAGTGTGGACTGGATTCAGTTGCCTAGAGACCAAAGTCTAAGGGAGTGGATTTTGTGAACAAGGAAATGAACCTTCGTTTTCCATAAAAAGTGGGGAGTTTCTGATCAGTTAAGCAGCTGTCAGCATAATTATACTCCGTGAAGATATTTAGGCATGGATCTTAAACAAAGAGGATGTGAGAGTGTAAATTCAATTATCTCAGAATATAATCTTTTGAATATCTTTTGAATAGAATCGAATTCTATAAATTTCTTGATCAGCTGTGCGCCATCGTTTCGCCGTGAAGAATTCTGTTCTACAAAGTCCAATGCATTGATTCTGACGAATTAAGCAATCAACTCGTACAGTTACCGGATTTTCCAATCATCATCATCATCAGTAATCTGTCAAGACGACAGGTCCACAGTCTCTTCCAAAACAATTCCTCCATTTAATGCGATCTAGAGCTTTCTCCTTCAAATGACAGTATCCTCTTCTGTCCCCAAGGTCATCCAACATCTTCTTCCTCGTCTTCTGGTCACTTCTATCCGCCCCTCTATCTTTCCTTCGATAACTTCTTTTAGAAGGCAGTTTCTGCGTAAAACATGACCAATCCAATTAGCCTTCCGTTTTCTTATTTCGTGTAGGATATTCCTCTGCTCACTGACTCTAATTAACACTTCTTCATTTCTCACATAATCGGTCCAACTGATCTTCTCCATCCTTCTCCAACACCACATTTCAAAACTTTCCAGATGTTTCTGATCTACTGCCCTAAGTGTCCAATAGACATTGAAAAATGGGCCCTGTGGTATGAAGCAGGGTTATAATCATTGTAATTCGAGGGCGCAGAGAAAATTTGTGGTAGGAGCCTGTCTTCCAGCATTCACCTGGAATGAGAAACGAATGTGAGGAAACATCAGCAAAAGCAACCGAGAACATAAAACACAGATCGATACGTCACAGGGCTGAGCTCAAGACACAGCTATTATGCTGTCTTCGGCCGTTCTGGTTGACGTTCGCAAACCATGCAAAAAGTACCACAGAGTACATCGAGCTTATTTTCACTGCAATTTACGTCAATACTGCTTTGCACACTTGCGGTGAAATAATCAGTTACTTATCTCTTCAATTCATATTATTTTAGAAATAATTACTACCCTCTTTTGTAAAAGCCGGAGTGCCCGCGATGTCTAGCCGACTGGCGACCCTTCAGAACAAAATATATACAATTTCTTCATCACGAGCGTCATTTTAGCTGACTATACCCGTTCGTATCACAGAAGAGGTACAGTATATAGCTTGTACGAAATTTGACCTCTGAAATTCCACAGTTGTGACAGGTGCCCTACCTGACAGGCATTGATCTTTTATGTTAAGCACTAATAAATGTCTCAAATTTCCTTCTCCATTTCTAATTAGAAAATAGTCATCAGAATTTGAACAAACCTGGTCCGTAGTTTAATACGCGGAATCATTTTAAAACTCACATCCCGTCATCCCTAAAATAAGCCAGTAAACAACACACACTAAGAATTACTGGGTTTTAAACCTTTTCCATCGTCCGGTATGCTAGAAAATAGAAAACATGACGTTTCGGAAACTGGATCTGTTTCCGTCCTGAAGTGAGGGATGGTGAAGACGCCTACTCAGTTGAGCCCCTCACTGGACAACCCCTGTCAGATTCGCACAGATACTAAATCACCTGAGACCAGATTAATTCGGCTTCACCCACTCTCACTTGAGAATGGAAACAGATCCAGTTTCCGAAACGTCGTGTTTTTTTTATTTTCTAGAATACTGAACCACGAAGAATGTCCTGAAACCCAGTAATCCTGAGTGTTAAGGTAGGCGCACACCTGTCGTCATCGGACGGACGGCACGGATCGGACGGATCGGATTTTATTATTACATACATCGTGTCAAATGAGCCTGCGCTCACTTGTCCGCACCGTACGTATCGGAGTTCGGCAATGCCGACGGGTATTCCCGAGAGGGGCAGGCAATCCGATTAGGCCGTACGGAGCGGATGACGTGTTCGGGATTTCACCTCTCGCGCCGTTAGCAGCTGTTAGTTCGTTTTCATTCAATGTGCTTACAACTGGTGAATTTTCCAGTGGATTCAGCTCAATTGATTGTCATTGTGCAAGAATATGAAGAATTGTACAATTTGAGACACCCTGACTATTTCTGTTCCTCTTCTGCCAGCAAGCAACTTGTTACTACAACTTCTTCCTCACTATCCATAACTGTTCACGATAATCAATAAACAGATTTCAAAGAATAGTCAAGAAGATGAACTTCACTTAACGATGTTACGCTATGAACTGAGCATTTCTTGAAGGCAAGACCACCTGTCGGAAATGCGGATGCTCCGAATCCGGTGTGCGCAGTCACACAAAAAATTCCGATCCGTCCGATCCGTGCCGTCCGTCCGATGACGGCAGATGTGCGCCTACCTTTATAAGCCATCGTCAGAATCCTTTGGAAACAACACACACTAAATTCACTACAGATAAATATAAAGAATCTGTGAGTACTCAGGTTTGAACTAATTATCTGAAACGACGTTTAGTGTTTTCATATGTCAAGATTAAAATATCAGTACATCTCAGCCAATCACGAAATCCCACACTCAGAAACACATGACAAATGCATTTGTTTTCGGTCCCACATGGCGCGCTCGGTAGAGCCGAGTGAATACAATGAAGTGGCAAGCATACGGAATTCGATTGAAGATACTGGTAGTTCTGCTCAGCCCCTTCAAACGAATGCCTGGGGAGGTAACGATTCCTCCTTCCACATCATTTCCCACATGACCTCCACAACCGCCCTCCCATTCGAAACTACGTATGTGATCTACACAGCTGAGAAATCATTAAATAAAGTAGGAAAGTCAGCGATGGGAGGGCAGCTTTCCTTTAGGACTTGCACTTCCCTTTGCTGCTCCATAACGCTCAATAACACGAATGACATTCACATTATGTAGCCAACAGGGGTCAGTTCATTGATCAAGACACGAAAACTACTTGCTGAACACTCCCACATAAGAGAAACCACACTGGCCTAATTGCTCCACAGCAGTCTATATATATTTTTTTCCTTGGCACTACAGCCCCAGTGGGCCTAGGGCTACCTCCATGAACTTCTCCGTTCACTTCGGTTTTTCTAGATCTTACACATTCGGTAGGACTCCTTGGGCGGGTGATCAGCTCGTCGCAAGGCCTCTACCTGTACTCAAACACAGAAAAACGCACACACACAAACTAAACATCCATGCCCTGAGTGGGATTCGAATCCACGATCCCGGTTTCCAAGCTAGCGAAAACAGTACATGCCTTAGGCCGCTCGGCTACCGTGACCGGCCAGCAGTCTATACGTATATACCGTCATATAACATGGAAGCCATACAGAAGGTTATACATCTTGTTACACTAGCAGAAATATCCATTCTTCACCCGGGATATGGTTATCAGTATATAGTAGCGGAGTGCAAAGGAAGATGGTTGGTGTAGGGCAGCTTCATCACTATCTTCTTTATCTGCTTTGTTTAAACATTTTCATTGCCCCCGGTGAAGGTTTAAAAAGCCAGTAAATGAATCAGCGACAGTCATAACAGACCGGAATCAGTACACAATAAAAAACAAACATGACAGAACAGTAACGAGGCCATAACCTACGCCGTAAGTCTTTGCATCGCAATGCTGAACACTGATGTTGTGGTCGTAGTTCAGTTGCATAATTAACGACAGCGCCAAGGCGAATAACAATAGCTTAATGAAACAATAACAAAATAGCAACAAATATAGAAAATCAGGCGAAAGAGTATGGCTAATCGAAAAAATAGAATACAAATGAGGGGATACGCAAGATGTGAGTACAAGAGACAGAAAATGGCCGAAAGATAAACATGAAATCAACTTCGTACCTATGAACTATTTCCTGTACAGAAGAAGACAATACTGACCGAATCTTATCCCCTTGCAAATGGTTTTCATGGGTACAACTAAGCTTAATGATCACACAAAATTGAAATTTAAAATAAAGTCTTCAGTCATATGAATAGGAGATTTGTATCTGACGTTTCGAGGACTGTCTCCGTCTCCATCATCACGGCTTTGTGTTGGAGACAGCCTCTAAAACATCACTCGGTTGTTCGCTCAACACGAATTCAATGCGAACAACAGGAGATTTTGTATGTAATTTCAGAGCTGGAATAAGGACGCTGCCAGATCTGCACAAAGATGGGCGGCCCAGTGTATGCTCCTGACGCATGACAACGTCACTGGGCGGTGGGTGGACAATTTTGGTTCCTGTGGACAGAACATATTCGTGTCCACGGAGCAGGTACCCTGGTGAGTACAATTGGATGGCTGATTCTGCAGAATGCATATGTAATTAATTACTGTACTTATTTCTGTTATTACAAAGGGTTACTTCAATCTTCAGTGGTTCTACAGCCCTCTGCTGGACCTAGGCCTTTTTTCTTTTAAGTTTTATAATACAATACACATTCAGTATGACTTTCTGGACGGCGATCAGCCCGTCGAAGACAGCTACCTACACACAGGACAACAAGAAAACAGAGTAAATGCACAGAGACATCAATGTTTCGAGTGGGATTCGAAACCAAATGTTCGAGCGGCCGAAGGCAGTACTTCAAAGGTTACAGTGAAAAAACTGTATTTGAAAGTTCGGGCGCAGATAATATCTCGCGCAAGTGTCAGAAATATATTTCATGATCAGTGTTTGGAATTTCTGACGCAGACTGCGATGAATATCTAATCATTATCTTAAAATAAAATTATACTTTGACTTTGATATTGATCTGGAAATATGAAATACAGAAGACTATCAGGATATAATAAGGATAAGGACATAAAAAATTCCAGAATGTAATGAGAATATATTCGTGTCTTAAAGCCGAAATGAAAACATTTCCATTAAATCTTTGGAAACGTGACAGGTTTCAAGTACTTGAAAATTAAATAGAAATAAAACTACAAATGTAATATGTAAATTTCTGTCATAGTAGTAACTAAGAATGAAAATAATTCTATAGAATTACAACGCTGATGTATGCTACCAGGTTTGAGTGAAGGTTAGGCTATGAAGAAAAGAGACTATTGTGACCGCCCTGTAAAATCTGCACTACAATTTGAAGAACAGTTTTTGTTGTTCGTGGTGATTCATTAAATTTATTATCTCTAGGTTCCTGGAGTCACAGATACACAGTTTCTCTGACCTACAGAACACGTATTGTTACAACGGTCACCATGAAAATATATTAATTTTCGTCACAGTTCCAAATGATTTTCTGATTGGGGAAATATTTGTAAAGAAACTGAGAATCTGAGTTGGACTCTAATGCAAGCAAGTAACAGCAAAATAAACTCTTTTCTTTTTTTCATGTTTCAATTCCAAAAACGAACAATGGTTTTNTGTGATTCTACTCAATTTAATTATGGATATGCAAATAATGAATTAAAAACATCAAATATCACTTTTTTTTTCCTTGGCACTACAGCCCCAGTGGGCCTAGGCCTACCTCCATGAACTTCTCCATTCACATCAGCTTTTCTAGATCTTAGACATATGGTAGGACTCCTTGGGCAGGTGATCAGCTCATCGCAAGGCCTCTACCTTTACACAAACACAGAAAAACGCACACAAACATCCATGCTCTGAGTGGGATTCGAACCCACGATCCCGGCTTCCGAGCGAGTGAAGACAGTGCATGCCGCAGACTGCTCGGCTACTGTGACCGGCCAAATATCACATTTAATAGTTAGAAATGTTATTTATTGGATAAAATATGCCTTACATGTTTCAACCGTACAAGGCCATCATCAGAGGCTCGTGTGTTAAGATGAAATTGCTTAGTATAAATTAGAAACTTCAGCAAGCCAAGAATGGATATTGCTATGAGTTCCCTAATATTGGGAATAGTAGCAGAAATTTTTCTCCAAAACCTAGAAATTCAATCACTAAAGCATACAATGCAAACAAATGGCAATATTATACTATATACAATACATATGTTGACGATATTTTGTAAAATATAATACCAAACAAAACACACCTGAAAACACACTTGAACTTTCAACATACCATGCAGATCTCTAATATACATCACGACACAAGATACCAGCAGTCAAATAGCCCACTAAGGCTTAAAAATATATCACATACAAAAAACAACATCAAAGCTGATATTCACTGGAAATCCAAAACAGCAAACTCTATAACAATCAGCCAGTCATGCCATCCACAAGAAAAGAAAAGAACTATATTCAAAAGTCTATTGCACAGACAACACACACCTGTATGACAAAAAAGAGAACAAAGGAATTAAGTATCATCATTACTACAACCAAAAAACAGTGACTACAAAAGAAAAAGAAATTAGAACCATTCATGAACAAGTGAAACTATAATCTACAACAGGAATACAGACAAACAACACCAAAAATGGGCCACCTTTACATACACAGGCAACTACATACACACAATTACTAAAGTTCTTGACACCATAAACGTAAAATAGCATACAAAACAATAAACACAGTAATTTACTAAGCATGACACCAAAATCTGATATATGGTTCACGTGTACAGATTGCAACAAAGCATAAGTTTGACATTCAGAGAGATCACTAAATGTTATATAGAAAGAACATATAAGAAGTATAAAATACAACAGGGAGGCATCAGTATTTGCAACACACATCGTAAACAACAGAATCCAATATGGTGGAATGGGGAATGTAGCTGATATAAGTGAAAATGCAAAAAAAGGGGCACTTAATGGTCATCAAAGGAATGTATGTGCCTAACAAAATATTAAGCACCATGCATCTGACTGCCAGTACTGCCCCAGACACTCATTACACCAGCTGTACAGCACACCATAAACTGTAGCAAGGGATGAACAGACAATGAAGCAATAATATAATATTAGTTATGATATTCATGGAATCTAAATAGAAAATACCATACTGATAAAAGCAAGAATATCTCAAAATTATGCATTCTGCCTCCAATTTATACATAAGTAAGTATTCCCTACAGTTTTAATTATAAAGTGATTTAAACATAAATGTTACTGCAAGAAATTAATATATATTAAGTAATCCCCTCTTTAACACACAAGCCTCTAATAAAGGCCCTATGTGGCTGAAACATTTAAGGTATATTGTATCTAGCAAATAAAGTTCCTGTCTACTGTATGTTATACTTCATTATCAGTATAAAGTATAACGGCAGAAATATCTCATACAAAATTAATGAATATGCAGACCTAATGCCTCAAGGAACTGAATGCTTTTATAACATGAAAAGCAGTGAAAATTTAAGATGGAGCCAACAAGAACTAAGGCAAAGATAGACATACTCTTTTGGTTGAATTAAGTGGAGATTTTAATCAATTAATTCAATATACTACCTTGCTCGCTTTTAACATTTCAGTGGTAGGTCAGATTTGCTGCTGTTATATGAGGAGTGTACCATAAATCCAGAACTAATTTTATTGTTTACATATACAGATGTTCTAAATGTGTTCTGTGCATAGTCGCCCTCCAGTGACAGTATGCTTTTGCTATTAGCATACAGGATTCATGTCAACAGCAGTGCCAGTATAATACTACATTTAGGCCATGACTGCTTTCTTCCAAATCTCTTCCAATTCATTAATCATATATCATCCTACTGCTGAGTATCAGAAATATTGGTAATATCATAAAATAAACCACAAAAGAATTCCAACATATAAAGGTTTCAAAAGCCTCCGAATATAATAGTAAATTTTGATAATAAATTGGAAAAGAAAATCAACACTGAAATGTATTATTCTACCACGAGATGTTAGATGCATTTAACATTTAAATAATCTAAAGAATTTGTAATAGAGGAACACATTCATATATACAGTTATTTAGCTAAGGTATTGTACAAAATAATGATTCTGTGAATAATATATTGCCAAACAAATGAATATTAAGCACAAATATTAATGTATAACTGCAGTTGTTACTTGTTTCACCCAAATATGTAAAAATAGAATGTATATTCGTTTACACGAGGACCCCATAGGTGCACATAGTTTTAAGATATATTTTCTGTTTTAGATATTTTAAATGTGTTGCATAACTTCGTGCTTCTTAATATATAAATAAAATAAGCTACTTGGTGATTATAAAATCAATCGGCTATAAGTGTTTATTGTGTTACTCACAAGAGCCCTATTGCAAAGTATTTTCTTTCCTAAACATATTAAGTCTGGTGTCTCTTCTGATTTTACAGGTACTTTGCCATACAGACATGGTTCCTGGAGAGACATGACTTCACATATGGCTCTTCACAAAACAACCTCTACACAGTGGGCCACTACACACAGTTAGTTTGGGCTACAACACACAAAGTGGGTTGTGGCTTCAATAAGTGTGAATATGGTGGTGTGAAGGGCAAACCCTACTACAACTATGTCTGCAATTATTGTCCCATGTGGGTATAATGAGGTTTACTTGTACATTCTACTTACATAGTTTTGCACGAATATCTTCATGTCTAACACAGACATTGTCACTGATACACATGCATGAACCCTTCATTTTCTGTTGTTGTATGAAGTAATAGAGATCTTGGTTGCTTCACAGGTTTAAAAAAGCACACTCAGAAGTAGTGAAAAAAAGCAATATCAGCAAAATAAACTGCCAAAACTAATATTATATTAAACTAACGACCTAAAGCAGCATAAACCATTTGTAGTTCATAACAAAATGTATAGTTTAATGGCAACAAAAAGTATGATTTTTTGACATTCACAATATTTTTTTTCACAATGATCTGTTTGCTTGGGTACATTGTGCAAGAAGGACAAGATTTTGCAAGTACATTTGATACTCAAGATAATATGTTGTTTTGTAGCTTGAATTACTTCTGACAATTTTAACTTACAAATTGCAACCATATAACCAGAACAGTAGTACAAAGCCCTCAGGCAAACTAATTCTTCTCTTCCAAAATTATTTATACTTTGGCATATTAGGCTTTTAAAATATTAAAGAATATAATTTGATAACAGACAATAAAATCATCTGAGAAAAGTTAATTTAGATGTGACTTCTTAATTTATTCTGTGTCACAGTGTGCATTAGTGTTTGACAGTCATTCAGCAAATTGCTTAATTTATGAAACCTCAACCTCCGACAATGTGATCAGAAAGCCTGTCATTGGACTTTGTCTTCAGTAAAATGGATTCAGCTTTCATCTTTATGACTAGCATTTCTAATAGCAATTATATAAATATTTTGGGCTAGTGAAGATTCAATGACAATTTTTACACTCCAAATAAAATTGTGGACCCAAAGAAAGGAATAATCTATTTGTGGAGCTGTTTCCTTCCTAAAGCAAAAGATTTTTCTTGCAGAGGGAACTTCATGGAACGATTAGGACGGCCCTATAAGAAGGGTGCCCCATGTTCACAATGCCCTAAACACTGCCGTCTGAAGAAGCTGTGCACAAACTCATGTCCCTCAGCGGACCTGTGGGCCAACTGCCGAGAGCTCAACAGCACGTGGCATGACTGGCTATGCCACAGTCATTCTCATGAGGGCCATGATCGTCATCGCTACTGTTCAGCCACATGCAATTGTCATGACAAGGTCATCTAACCTTTGTTATTTATATATGATGGAGGAGGCTCAGACACCAAATACAGCCTCATTTAACTGTATATTATGTAAATTGTTTACTGCATGGTTCAGGTCCTTAAATGTGTCTGAGCAATACTCTATATACTTCAACATCCTATGTACTGACAGCAGGAAACTGAATGCCATCAGCAGCTGAGAGGAGACATGTCTAGCAATTTATTTCATTCTCTCCAAATTCCATTCCTTCCTTTCTTCCCATACCTTAATAGAATCAACCTTGTGGAGAAGGCTAGAAGATACCATAATCACTCCTCAGTATTCAGCTCTAAGGATGGTTTCACTTCCTTAGTAGACAGAACAGCTATACTAATGACTGATCAGTCATAGCCAATAAAGGATGGTATTGTAGACTTGTGCTTTGCTGTGAAATGTGGAAATCAAATTGATAGGAAGTTGGTTAGGTGCACATTAGTTCAGGTATTACTCCTGAAGACTGGATAAACTGCAAAACCAAAGTTAGAACAGTTATTACTAGCTGAGATTTATAATCAACACTTCACAAATATAAGGTTAGTGCTCGCACTATGAATTACTCTTCATATATTGATGAATTTCGCCATAAAGGGAAATTTCTATTTATTCATTTTTAGTTTCCCTGTGTAGTTTTTGGTGTGGGGTGAGACTGCTACTGTAGCATAAAATAGAAATGTAGTAACAGCCCCTGATGACAGTTGAATATGGAGTATTACTTGAATGATGATTCATAGAGGATAACTGAAGTTCCCAAAGGGAAATCTGCCCCTCTGCCATGCTGTCCACCATACATACCACATGGACCACCTCAAGATAGAACCTTGGCCTCCTTGGTGAAACGCCAGCGACTAGCTTGCTGAGCTATTGCAAGACCAGCATTTGTAGTTACATAGCAGAACAAGAGGCTTTCAGCTTCCAGGAATCTCTAAATTAGAGGTAATGAAATTCATTGATATTCTAGATACACGATTTTGGTCAGACTTTGAATTATGATACCTGGAAATGATTCAAAGTCTTGTTTAAAGCAGTGCATTTCTAATATGAATTGTATTGTAGTGGCAAGTTCATAGCTGCTTTTGACTTAATGTGCATTATATGTTTGTTAATAGATTTAACCCTCTTTTTGACACATGTAGAATTATATCTATTTTCTCAAATCCATTTCATATGCTTGTTCTTTGGACTTTCACATTTTAGAAAGTTACTGTTAATGGAGGGGCATGGGCTAGCATAGTTACTTGTGGCACAATGCTACAAGCTGGAAGGTCGTGGGTTCGATTCCCAGTCAGATAATTGGGGTTTTTAATTGATCTAATCCTTTCAGCTGCACTGTTACCCTGGGGTTGACTCAAACTCTAACAGACATGAGTACCAGAAGTCTTCCTGGGGATAAAGGAAGGACGATGCGTGAGACTGACAACATCACCTTCATCTGTGAGCCAATTGTTTAGAAAATGTGGGAGCCTTGACATCTCACAACCCAATGGGTCTTCACGGCCTGTTATAGGGATAGCTTTACAGTTTACCTTTACTGTTATTAGATACCTTTCAAGTCTCACAACATAGCATATGGTGCCTCCATCATGATGCACATATATTTTATAAGCTTATATTTACTGTTCCATAGACTAGTCTAAAGGCACCACAATTTCTGAAAACTTCCATCTTTCAGTATTTATAGGGGTAAGTAATACAGACTGTTGGGAATGGGAGCTTGGTTTCAGATGCACAGAATCTTGTACTATTTCAGCTTTGGGATTATAGATTATAACCTTGCATGGGTCATGAATATATTTTCATGATTTTCTTTTCTGACTTATGTAAGTTAGAGGCCATAAAATTGGCCAAACTCTCATATAAGTGTAACGACAGCCATTGTTTCACCAGTCAGCAGCTCTGCTAGCTGAGTGGACATCTAGCAGATGTCAATGGCATGAGTAATATACCTCATACAAATTTTCTTCATATGGTAGCTAAAATGTCATTGATCAAGATTTTGGGATTCAGAGAGAGGAATGGAACAAAGGTTACACAGCAAATATTCCAGGCGAGTGTAACAGTTTGGCTTTATAGATAATGTACGTGTATGAAAGGGGTATGAAGCTTTACTGTAATCTACATTTTTTACATTATACACGATTTAGACTGTAGCAGTGCTTCATAAGACCTTGAGATCTTGTTTCGTTGTTACTGAATGAGATTGACCAGCGAGAAAGCACTCTGTTCCAGGGACATTAGTAATGTCTGGTCTCATAGATCCTAACTTGCCAAAAGGAATATCTTGAATTATGAAAAACACTTAATATGCAGAGTCATAATGCTTACCATGTAAGAGGGTGAAGATTGTAGATAGGTTGCACATGCTGAGGGTCTGCTATCAGACTAAATTGCCTTTATGTCAAATTATGTTCAGCTTGTTGCATCCTGCCTGACATTTGTCATATTTATAATTCTGTGCAAACAAACATTATGTTGAAAGTCGTCTTCTGGGTTTTGGCGCCGTGTATTCTTCGTTTTGGCCGACGTTTCGGAGGAACGTATCGCCTCTATCTTCAGAGCAGGTGAATGGCTTGTGAATGCAGAGAGCACAAAACACCACATATGGCCTTAATCGCTCTCCACTGCTCCTATTGGTCCGCTCTCCCTAATCACACCCCCTGCCTACTTCCTATATAAAGCAGCGCCTTTCACTTCCTAATCATTACAGCTTGCTCTCCGCATTCACATGCCATTCACCTGCTCTGAAGATGGAGGCGATAAGTTCCTCCGAAATGTCGGCCAAAACGAAGAATACACGGTGCCAAAACCCAGAAGACGACTTTCATCATAGTCATCGCCATGAAAACCTCAAAACTTACAAACATTATGTTGTCTGCATCCAGTCACTAAGGTCAATTTCAAACAACGATTTCATTAATTATCAATCCCAAGCAGGTAAAAACGAGCAAAGAATGTGTAAAATGCCCAAGTCAGGTGAAAATGGAGTGACTGACTGTGGTTGAAGGCAAATATAATTCACTGACCATTATATAAAGAATCTACCAAATGCCTAACAGATAAAAAAAAATGTGAACTTTTATATCACTGTGAAAAATTTTGGCTTCTCGCAACGGTGACTATAAATATTGTTGTCTTCTGGGATGTGACGACATGTAATCTGATAACTAAAATGGCATTAACCAAGAAAACAGATAGCACAGAGCATTAATCTAAATTTAACTCTTTTGGAAGATAGAATTCGGTCTGATTTTTTCTGAAAGAAATTTCCTGATCTATATAGGATTCAGCAGGATGAACTGAATGTTACAACAAAAGTACTGTGCTCTCATATGAAATGAAATGTAAGTTTCAGAAAGCAAGAATTATTTGAAATGCAGAGAAGCAGGGTGATATTTGTGGGCAACATTAGTGGCAAAATTTTGGTGCCAGATTAACTAAATACACTATTATTATCTTGTGTTCTCTTTCTCCCAGGTATCACATTCCTTTATTAAAATAACAGCTCCTTATTTGCATATGACTTACTGCAGATGTCGTGGTTCTTATGATAAAATATAATCACATGTAGAATTTTGTACATTAAATTTGTATGCAGCTCTGTTGCAGACTTATGTTTAACAGTTTATACAATTAACCTATCCTGATATTTTCATACTGTTTAGGGTGGGTTTATTCTATTCTTCGTTACAAATGTACTATTACATATTTTTGACAAGCATCATTGAATACACTGTCATGCGATGGAGTGACTATAGGTAGATATTCAGATTTACTGACACTTTAACAGCAACTCGTGACTACATTTTACAAATCACTGTCACACATAGACTAGTGTTCTAAGTCTGTGATAGTCTCCACTAGCCGTTGTTTGGTAGTGTCTTCAATGGCTGACACTCCCCTTCCACTTTGTTCCCGAACTTATCCCTGGCTTCAGCAGTCCCTGCAGCAGTCCTCTAGCTAACTCACTATCTAACCAACCATCTATTNTACCAGCTTCTCACAGCAGCAGCTCACAAAGACTGAACTGCAGCAGTCCTCTAGCTAACTCACTATCTAACCAACCATCTATTCACTAACTGACTTCACTGACTGACTGAATGATTCCACTGATTTGTTCTGCTTATAACATCTCGGCATGGATCACAAAGAAAAACCGTTTCCCTGTTGCTGTGCCATTGTTGCGTTCGTGTCTGTTGGAGTCATTGCCTAGCAACGGCCACTGTTTGCAGAGCCATTACTTAGCAACGGCTGTTGCATAGTTGCTTATTTCGTGGTCATTGCCTAGCAACAGATTTACTTCCACAATGCATTGTGTTAAAAAGTAAATTCCTCTAATTCATGATACTACCTGATGCTTGTCAACCCATGTTAGATAGGATGGTGACATTTAATATTATTGATCTCCTACAGTCTTTTACAGTATTTTATTATATATACACATACAGGCCTCGTATAGACTCTGCATTATTAAGGACAAAATGTAACCGAGTTTTAAACAGATGGATACTATCGATAGATACGGAACTCCACAGGATCCTTTCAATCACGTACACCATGGCCCTGGGGTCGACTCAGTCTCCAACAGAAATGAATACCAGGAATCTTCCTGGGGGTAAAATTGCGGCCGGCGCGTAAGGCTGACTACTTCATCGCCATCTGTGAGCCGATTGTCTACAAAATGTGGGAGCCTCGACGTCTCACAACCATTTGGGCCTCTACGGCCTGTTACAAGGATGGCTTTACAAAAATTCTCAACGATAATATTATAATTCTCACAACTCCCACAGTGAGAATAGTATCAACATATGTGAGATTTGAGTTTCGTTACTGCGAAGATTAGGCCCAATGACTTCTGAAATGTGACGTATAATATGGTAGACATTTACCCGACTAGACGGCTTCACATCCTAAAAACAATCTTCGATCAGTCCAAGAAATATAAGTATGTATGATTTGCGCGCGCGTTTGTATATACGTGTGTTAAGGCTGTAATAACACTTTCTGAATTTGGTTAGATCTCGACCTGAGGCTGCAAAGCACTGACTACTACTACTACTACTGCTGCTGCTACTACACTGCTACTACACCATTTATATAAGGCAGGTATTATCAACATGAACCCCTTTTTCTTTTTTGGGGGGGGGGATAAAATCGAGCAGCCATGCGAGACCGGAAGCAGATGGTATTCGCAAACGAACTGAATTCTCTGTTCCTCTAAAATACTCGTATTATTATTTCAACAAAGTGAAAATTTTTTAATATACTTCTGAATTGTAAGAAAGAGGACTTGTAAATAAAAGCATAACATTTCTTCTCAGATATTTTATGTATAGATCTTCTGGCGTAAAGACTAATTATGGCACTTCCGGAGGTTGTTGACCAATTATAATACATTTGTTTGTCTGAAGAACAAAAGTGAAACGACCTCCACGCCGATATGCACACCTGAAGCTGGACTTCAAGATAAAGATCTCGCCTTGACACGGATCTAGTTCATAAAGAAAACACAAGAAGGTTTGAAAAGACACGCCATGACTTCAACATCATATAGAACCAATTGCGCTTGCGCGCTTCTAATTGCATTACCGTAACGATATATGACAGGATTCTAAAGAAACGGGGTCTCTGCACTTCGTTACATCAAACGGGAGTCTTGATACCAATCCATGGCGGTAAAATCATTACATCTCTCAACAAACCTTTACATCTGGTGTGGAGGAAATGTCACTGTATCATTCAAGGAACCTACATATAGATGTATGAATAACTGTATATATTTCTTCTCAACTTTTAACGTAATTTGTTTTTCAATATGTCGAAAATTGCATACCGGCTAACCAGTGCTGTTGGCTCGAATACAGAATATATCCAATAACTGACAAATGAAACAAAACTTCATGAAAAATATTATGTTGATCAATCAGCAACTATCTGGATGTAATGTGAATGAATCTAGTGAAAAATTATGGTATTATATACTGAAGAAATTCGTGGTTTATGCAAGTCATCTAGTATTTTTCGGGTAGTCAAGCCAACATTTAGTTGGGCGTCTACGTAGCTAAGGGTGGGAAAGAAATTTTGTGATTAATCCTAGTGGAAACCCTCCACTCTGAATATGAAGAAGGTCTGGTTGTTGTCTGTTCAACGACGCTGTCACTACCTCAGTATTTACAGTGTCGACTGTCACAACACTGAATGCACAGTTACTTGGAAAGGGTGCAAAAAGAAATGGTCGTGACACAGTTTGAAATGTGATCTCACTATTCCCCTAGCGGGACTAACAAACACTATAAAATACAACAGTTAGGATAGTAACAGAATAAAACCTTCCCTGCAACAGGCCGTGAAGGCCCATAGGGTTGTGAGTCGTCGAGGCTCACACATTTTCTGCAGACAATCGGTTCACAGATGGCGGTACGGTAGGAAGACTTACGCACGAGCCGCCCTTTACCTCCCAGGAATCCTCTGGTACTCCTTTCTGCTCGAGGCTGAGTCAACCCCAGGGTCATATTGCGGCTAGAAGGCCTAGGTAAATTGAGTGAACTCAATAACTTCTTCGGGAATCGAACCCGCTACCGCCCGGCTTGTAGCATAGTGCCCCAACCAACTACGCTACCGCATGCCCCTAGATCATGAATAAGTAAGGCTAATAAATAAATGTAAAAAATATATAAAATAAATAATATATCAGCATACTGTTTGGTTGTAAACATTTATAAACAAGAATCAAATTTCATTTAAAGAAGAAATAAAGCCTAAAGACTAATATGCCAATAATTTACAGTGTATCTTCTTTGGTACTGTGATGGAATTCTCTCGCGGAATTCTCACTTTTCACTTCGTGGAACCTTGAGGTTCCCCGGAACAGAATTTGCGAAACACTATTGCCGACAGAACTACAAATCTTACCCCATATACTGTATTCGAGTATGAAATACGCGGAAGAACGAAAGGACAGACAAAACTTTCCATTGCCAATTCATTCTCCCCACCTTGCCTGGGGAATCCGCAACAGCGTATAGAAGTTCATATGGTTCATATTGGCCACTTTGTAAGCAACGTCTGCCTTTCGAAGAACGTTTCCAATATTAAGATGGTTCATTTGTTTTCAAAGTCCGGCACGGAAAATTTTACTGTCGTGGAAAATAAAAGCCTTGAATTATTCATCCATGGAGATATGTTGTTGTCTCTGTCTGACATCCGGCGGGCGACCCACGGACAGGTGGTCATGCCAGTTGCACCTAGCGCTGGCTCCTGGACGGTTATTGTTTGGTGTATCCTACTCAGTGTAACTTGCCTCGCGTTATTTTTGATGGAGACATTCGATTTAATTTTTATTTTACTTAACCTAAATTTCTCTATAGATAAAATAGTGATATGATATGAAATCACAGTGATCTGATAAAAACTGAAAAGAAAGTGACCGGTTATAATTGTGTCACTTACTTCCACTTCTTCAGGAAAGCCATAAAGGAAAACACGAAATATCGAGTATATTTATGAAACTGATTACACGTCTCCAGGAAATCCACAGAGAAATATTTAAAAAAATATACTTCCACTTCTTCAGAAATATTACACTTCAAATATCTGCTTCACACTTTAGAAAACCCATAATGAAATATCTGAAATGGAGGCTTCCAATTTTTCAGAAACACTGCTAGTGTCTACTTGAAACTTCTTCAGAGAAGCCACTATACAACTTGAAACACCTCATTCGATATTCCGTTCTGAACGTGAGACGAACGCTGATCAGGCGATAAGATGCACATATCTCGAACGAAGTAAACTGTCAGCTCTGGATATCCGACAGGCCGTGTACGTATATATTTCTCTCAGAGTTTTCTACAGTGCCGAATATAACCATGGCAACTGGCGTATGGGTCAGTTCGTTATCGAGAGTGTCATAATATTTTCGGTTTAAACGTACGCAAAATATAGGGCTCTTCAGGTTTTACGGTCATACATGACAGCAAGTGTGTTGTGGTGAATTGATGTGAACAGGAATATCACTACAAAGAATAAAATAGATACTTCGATTTAAAATGTATTGTGATGCGATTATTATTGATTAAAAATGCATATAATCAAAACGATTTGTGTCGAAACAACTAATTTTAAGGAAGAAGGTGCAGATCATTGAGCGTCGGTTTGTGACGTTATAAGTGCAAGTAATGTCCAATTCTCCGTTCTTTAAAACTTGTTTCTTAAACAAATATAGTAATTTGTTTTTTGGATATCCAGATGTCTAGCAATTGAACTTCCATCTTCGGTTGCAACAGGGCATTTTATAATATTTATTCAGAATCTCAACTGTAATTAATGTATATGTTACAATAAGTTATATTCCCCGTTAATTTGTGCGTCTTCGTAACATTGCTCAAGATGTTACATGCAGTCAGAACGATGGAGCAGCCAGAAAGTACACTTTAATTGAGGAACTGGGAGAGTTATATAAGTGAAAGTGTTGCCATGGTAAAAGCAGACGTGATCGAAGTGAAACCAGATAAACATGAGGGCGCAAATTTAGGCCGGCGTCGTTCCAGACGCCTCGGATCGACGAGGGGTCTGCGGCCAGTAGCTGGACGGAACAACGGCTGGGTAAGGGTGTTCAGCGGGCTGCAGCAACAGCAGGAGACGAGGGGGACCCTGGTATTCCTTACACATAACACGACCGTGAGGGACATCTGTCGAGACCTCGTGCTCACAGAGGACATATCCATCTGGATGCAGGTATTTGCCGTCAGAGTAATTTACGGTATTAATCGTTCCCGCAGCGGGGAAGAATCCTCGTTCAGAAGCTGATAGGTTCTCTTCTGGTAAAGAGACTTCCTGCCTTTTATGGAACCCAAGATTCATAACCGTATAGTCACAAGATATCTCCACTGTACTCTATCGGCAACGCGGCCACTGATTGGCCTATTGTAGCCTGTCCCGGGTGATTATGATGCTCGAGAATTTGACGGAATGAAGATTGGCAGGGGAAACCGAAGCACTCGGAGAAAACCCGCCCCAGCGCCACTTTGTCCACCACAAATTCCATTTGACCAGACCCGGGATCGAACCCGGACCGCCGCGGTGGGAAGCCAGTGACTAACCGCTTGAGCTATGGCGCGGTCCTCGCTCTCATGCAAATGTGAGTGTCGATGTGAATTAGACGAAAGTGGTTCCAAATTACAGTCACCTTCATTAGCAGCATTCAGTATTCGCGCCTTCATACCAAAAATTAATTTTATTTTCCCCTCATGGGGTGAGATCGAGTCCACTCAGTATTACAGCCACTCTTTGGCCTATTGTACCAGCCTCAGATGATAGATGATGATTGTGAAGCAATCGTTGGAATGCGAAATGGCAGGAGATACCGAAGTATTCGAAGAAAACCTACCCCATTGCCGGACACTGCCACCTTTTCAAAGTGGGACTGACAGACTACCCAAACTGTGAAAGATGCCTACAAGAAGACGAATCAGCCACACACATCCTATGTGATTGTGAGGCCATAGCTTACTTAAGATTTCGTCACCTGGGTCAGTTCTTCATGGAACCAAGTGACTTTTATGACGTCCCCATAAATAAAGTCCTACATTTCATTCGAAGTGTAGAATTAATAAAGGGTTAATCTAAAAGGGAAGCACAATAGATCATTGAAGGTCACGGTGTGAGGGCCAGTTTTTATGGCTCACCCTTCTTACTCATTACCCCAGTGCCACTTCGTACAACACCTTATATAATTTCACCCAGGCTCGAACTCGGGCCGCCGCGGTGGAAAGCCGGTGACTATCCCAGAAAATTAGTTAATCTGGTCCAAAATGACGTGCATATTGAGTGGCGCTAAATTTTCGTCCACCTCAGAAGTAAGCACAGTCCGATGTACATAGTGTTGAACTTATTTTTAACAACAAATATTAATGGTACTCACTTGTTTTATAGGGAATTTTATGGTCCGGATGACAAGAAACATCTGGAGGGCTATTTTTACAATTAGTAGGCTCCAGTAATTATAGCATACCAGCACATAAGTTTCATACGTTGAGTTCACTACTTAACTTAACACGAAGTATTTCACATACTCACCATGATCTCATGTTTTGGCCATGAAAAATATTTTAACTGAAGTCGGATTCGAGGTTTCCAAGGAGGTAAATATAAAGAACATTATCTCCTCGGATGTAACTGGTAGTCCCGTCCAGTCCAGTTTCATCAACATTCAATTTAATAAAATTTCGTAGGCCTACGTTATAAAGAACTGTCACAATACAAAATTTCTGGATTCCTCCTCGCTTAACGCTAATATTGTTTGCACCTCACCAATTTGCACGGCCGCCATGTTGATATGACGTATGGCAGGGATATGGAAAACACCAAGAAGGGGAGATCTACAGTGACATAATGGTATTACCAAGCTTGGGTCAATTTTGGTTAATCGGTGTTTGCTTTGTTGTTGTTTTTAGTGGAATCAAGTGACAGACAGGAGAGACATGCGCAGGAAGTTCGTAAATGTGGTTCCAGTCTGCGTAAACATGGCGTCACAGAATGTATGACTTCACAATGATAGTTCATCAGACGATTTGTTCAGTTCAGAAGCTGTTTGTTGTGGCATGCATACTGACTGCAAGCCATAGTGTCGGATCTTCCTGAAAATCTGACAATCACTAAAGTAGAAAAGAAATTCTCTGCCTTTCAGAAAATTCTGACTTTGGACTCCACTCTAAGTCAGACACGCATTACCTTCCCTTATTTATTTAAAATCCAGTTCAATGTTTTTTTAATCTGAGTCCAGGTCCATTGAACTTCTCTTCATTTAGACTATGCGACGAAACTCTTAGAAGCATTTACAATTTACCTTTTGCATGCTACATGTTCTTTCCATCCATCCTATCTTTAATTTATTAGGTAAAGATTATAAATCTTGGACTTTCTTATACTTTATAGTGTGATAACCCGCTGAAACATGTTCGAGGGAACATAAGGTTAATCATCAAGTTATAAAGGCGGCTAGGGGCAATNTTTTATAGTGTGATAACCTGCTGAAACATTACCACTTGAAAATCGACGTGAGTCAAGTTCGAAGGAACATAAGGTTAATCATCAAGTTATAAAGGCGGCTAGGGGCAATGGAGATACATCTCCAAGCAATCTTAGCTTCGCTATAGTCGTTTTACCCTGTGGCAAACAGCAATCAGTGCCAAATGGAAAGGAAGCCGACCTAGACTTCGTGTTGGCCGTGCATAGCACTCTGGCTTCCCACCGCGGCGGCCCGAGTTCGATCCCGGGTCTGGTCAAGTGGGATTTGTGGTGGACAAAGTGGCGCTGGGGCAGGTTTTCTCCGAGTACTTCGGTTTCCCTTGCCAACTTCATTCCACCAATTGCTCCACAATCACCCTTACCTATCATCTGGGGCTGGTACAATAAGCCAGAAGTGGCCTCAGTACAAGGGACTTAGACTTCGTGTTAAAGAGAAAATTCTGTGTCTACCAGGAACCGAACCCTGGCCAGACTTATCTTTCCTGGGCTAAGAGAGGGCATGCATTGCGAAATTAATTGTATTGTTCTGGAACTGATCAGTGACTTGTGTCACTTGTGTTCGCAGTACGGGGGAGGACCTAGCCAGCGTCTATCGCCCGAGGATTGCCCTCTCGCCTTGCAGGACAGCTTTCTGGAACGGCTGGGGTACACGACTACTGTGCGCAGGACGAGGCTGGGGATTGACCCGGAACTCAGGCATCTACTACGCTTCCACACGGGGCCCGCTACGCCCCATCCGGACCTCAAGGGATTCAGCAAATGTGGGGCCGTGTTAGTACTTAAAGGCCTCGTATTCCCGCAGTGGCGGAGGAGACCCATTGCTCTGCTCCATTCCAGGCTTTTCCTGTACCCAGGTAAACCAGTTCGATATATGAATTAATTGTAATCGTAATGTGTTAGGTGAAACCTTTTTTTTCCTTGGCACTACAGCCCCAGTGGGCCTAGTTTTTCTAGATCTTACACATTCGGTAGGACTCCTTGGGCGGGTGATCAGCTCGTCGTAAGGCCTCTATCTGCACACAAACACAGAAAAACGCACACATACAAACTAAAGATCCATGCACTGAGTGGGATTCGAACCCACGATCCCGGTTTCCAAGCGAGCAAAGATAGTACATCCCTTAGACGGCTCAGCTACCGTGACCGGCGTTAGGTGAACCTTACCAGGCGTATTTAGAGTTTAGGGGTAAGCCGCTGCCTTCTGTTTGGGAGGCAAAAGGTTCGAAATCTGTGTGGAAATCATATTTTCTATTTTTCATGGTTTTCCACATGACTATGAAAGTACTGTCTTTTAAAATTGGCCATTAACAGTCTCATTCACACGTCTGACTCACTATTCATGCCACTGTGCAATTTATCACTTGGAGGCCGGTTATCCTGAATAATCATTTATATAAGTACGAGATCTGACAATTAAATAAGCGGATGACAGTTTTGGGCAGAAACTGGCAAAATGGGCGTCTCCTTGTTTTGATTTACGTCTCTACACGATTTAGCATATTTGTATCAAACACTCTTAGGTATTCATTTCCTTTTATGGTTGCGGTAGGCGTTCATTTGCACAACGTTCTGTTTCCTGTCACTGAAGCAGAGGCAACATGTGTGCGTGACAGGGAGTATGTAACGTTCTTATTGTAACTGGAGAAAAATACCAAAAAGCATTTACAGAATGTTATGTCAGGTCAATGAAGCGCGAACAAACGTTGAAACATAGGATCTCGTGTGGTTTAAACAATTTCAGTGGGAAGAATACCAAATAAAGCCAATTTGATTCGCTACTTTAATACCAGAGGAAGTATTCGTTATAGGCTTCTTTTCCGAAATATTTAGTGAACCGGTCGTCTACGGAACCGCATTTGTCGGTGGGAATCAAATCTCTGGCCTCACAAATGTAGTCTACACCATGAAAATGCGTTTTTCCAAACAGCACTTTCGACAAAATTATTTTCGGCCCAAAGAAATGCACGCCAAGTCTGAAACTAACCTGTTTTGAACCTGTAAGACCCTTTCATTTTCCGTCAAGACAAATCTTCTTGATCGGGTCTCATTTTGAATCATTTCAAGATATTGAGGAAAACGTAAAGGCAGTGTCAAATTTCTGTATGAAATTAATCTTCAGCGATGCTTCCAGGCTTGTCAGAATTGTCGGAATGCATGTGTACTGTTAGAAGGCTATCACAATCAGTAAGGTTCAATCGGCAAAATGTAGTATAACACCTACAAAAATCATTTTGATTATTTAATTTCAAAATATCTTGTATTCTATCTCACATTGCCTTCTTCGTAACAACTGTCATTACATTTTTCGGAAATGAATTATGTTTACACATCTTTTGCTTTAGGGAGCCAGGTTAGCGCAATCGGCAGAGCGCCTTGCTACGGGCTGGACGACCGAGGGGTCAGCGTTTAAGTTCCGGTCGTCGAGACCGGCTGCGGGACCCACCCAGCCTCCTATCCAATGGGAGTCGGGGTCTCTTTCCCTGGGAGTAAAGCGGCTTGAGCTTGAAGCTGACCACTCTTCTCCAACTAGTGCCGAGGTCAAGAAAACGGGAATCTATACACCACTTTCCCCATACGCCTTCATGGTGTAGTGCTTAATTAGTTAATTACCTTACATTATCTTTGGCTTTAAGAATCTCTTCTCGCCAAACGACTTCCAAGGAAAGTACTCCTCCCGGTAAAGAAGATCTCGCGCATAAGTTAGCAGAAATGCCAGTTCTTTAAGAATTTATGTTTGTTTTTCTTGTCGGTATCATAATTTATAGAGAAGGAATAGCACTGAAATTAAGAAATTAAATTTTATTTATATAAGTGAAAAAGAAAAACTGAGATCGAGCTTTCAGACACCACATCAGTACTTGGAAGTAGCTTATACTACGTAACAGAGTGACTTTCATAATACTTTCGGATCCGGAGTAGGAAAGCAAATAATGAAATGCTATGTACACATATAAGCCCCTTATCCAAAGGATACCGGAGGCTTTTTCCCCGAGGGTAAAGAGGCTGGGGCGTTAAGCTGACCACTCTCCTCCAGATAGTGCCGAGGTCAAGAAACTGTGGTTCTATACAACCATTCCCCCATACCCATTCATGGTGTAGTATTTAATTAATTAAGTACAGAACAACTTTACTTTTTATGTACACATATTAAAATGCCTTTAAAGAATCAGAGGTTCCGTGCTCGTGCGACAACTTCTCCAACACTGCTGTGTGGCGGGTCATCTAAATTACCTTAAATAATTAGTTTCATTTAAAAAGAGAGATCGGGATTTGCGTTCTCTCTCTCCCCGGTTGTAGCATGCGAAATACAGGGTTTTCATTAAAATTTTATCAGCATTACTCCGCTTTGTAATTTCTAAGCTTCTTAGAATCAGTAATTGCAATATGGCTACTGTGCGAATTTCTGAAATTAGAAAAAGAATAGCGCCACGTAATTCAGAGGCTGGACATATTTAAAAATACGCATATCCTGAAGCTGTATTTTTATGCAGAGTGCAAAACGTTTCGCGGTAGCGTGAAGTTCATATTTAGCTTAGGTTCGAATGACAACTAATTCACAAACTCAGTCTTCATATTTGATATTTCGTGTGCATTAAAATATTAAAGCATGACGAAAGTTTGAAATTTCGAGGTTGAAACTATCGGCCTAGAAATACAAATTATGCATAGAAATTGATGCTGAATTGTGTACTTGTTAAGACTGTGATTCTTGCCGGTTTCACTATATATATAGAATCATATTTTATGAAATAAAATAAGCATCTTAATTTCTTCAAATAATTGTTTACTAATAATGACGCTTGCCTGACGTTTATTACCAGTCCTCCATATTGTCACGTGTAGGGTGGTTTTCGCGTGATTTATAAGAGGGTTTCGGATTGGCTGATTGAATTTATTGCACCTTATATGTTCACACAACTCGGGACTACAGGCAATACAGCGCCATCGCTGATTTACACAGTTTACAGTTCACCGTTGCACAAGCACTAGGATTCTCAGTCTTCACTAGTCGTATCCTGACAACGGATTTATAGCCGTCTTACTGTAACTTCAGATCACACATGACGTCTTCTTCACACCGGCTACTTCCTTTCTTGCTATTATTGCCGGCTCAATTCAATTCCTCTGCTCCCAAGCTCATATCCCGGCAGGCTGCCATCTCGAAACTCGACTCTCCACTCTATGCTGCTCAATTGAATTCTTCTTTATAACCATTTTGCACGGACCTCATGGAAACACCGTGTTCTACTGCCTCTTATTATTTTAGAAGTGTTTACAGCACCATTGCATAGCAACGGTCGCGGCGCGGAGCCATAGAAAAGAGTTTCTCTATTGTTTAGGCGTGTTTACCGAGTCCTTACCTAGCAATGGGTATATACGTCAAATATATATCTATACATACACATTCATATATATACACATACGAATAATTCTCAGATATAACTACTGAGAACTGCTAATTTTTTTTTACTCATTCTTCGGTACGATATATTTCGCCCCATACAGCCTACTCACACATTTTGAGCTGCACATTTTAAAAACTGTAAAAAGTGAGATAAATTACAACTGTCGATTATTGTACCTTACCACAAAATAAACACAAACTTTGACTGCATAATAAGGACAAACACGTGACTGATACAATGATGTGAGTTACAGGGCCTATATAAGATTTCAAGACGTTTACGTATGTGACTATGTAATGAAACGAAACGCCTGTAGAGACTCAACTTGGGACGCTGTGGTTTCCTGTCACTAGGTGCAGTGAGCGGTGAACCTGAGGTTCTGGACCTGGCAGGGGGTGAAGTGGGCGTCAGACCGTCTAAATCAGGGCGCCTAGTGTTGAGGGTTGCACCTCTCGACAACGAGAGGGTTCGGCATATCTTCTTGGGGTTCAATGAATCCTGGGAGCGAGATCTTTGGATGGACTGGCTAAGGCAGGTGAGTTGCGCCCGTACGTTTCTTGTTTCAAGTAGTACTAGTCTGTTGGAACAAAAGGCAACTACTACATCCTGTCCTGAGTCAATCCATTCCATTTAAGCACGATCTGCTAGCTTAAGGTACATATTAATGATGTATATTCAAATATCGCTTTGTTTCCAGAATGGTTCATCACGAAATTTTCTTATAGACATTACGTATGCCTGTCTATGTATCTTATATATGCTACATACCAGTGCATTCCAACTTTCTTAATTCTATTTTTTTCTAACAATATTAGAAGATAATTATGCTTAATAAAGCTTGTCACTATGAAATTATCTCTGTTCTGCACCTAATCCAGCATACGCAAATTCGAATATTTTTGTAAGATTTGAGGCTTTCACGGCGGTCTGTGCCAAATCCCAGAAGACTGCTTTCTTCGAATATTTTTCTTTGTCCCCTGTTTTCACACGGTTCAAAATTACATCTTTTCTCAAAGTAAAACCCTCAACAGTAAAACTAAGACGCAATATAATTTAGATATCTTGTTCTATAGTATTTTGGAAAGCGTGGAACAAGGTAATTCTATGAACGTAACAAGAGGTGTTCCATAGGTATAGTCTTTCTCGCGTTTACATTGTTACGTGATTTATGGAGTAACTATAGACGGCTTTTGGATTGAAAATTTAATTTAATGACATTTTTTATACAGCGCCTAACTACGTTTTACAATTAACTATAACTTACTTTCTTACTCATGGAGCTGAGCCCTTCTTGAGGAGCCGCCAATTCTGCAGCTACTCAAGAATTTCCCAGCATTTTATGGAACCCGAAGGTTCATTATCATGTTCACAAGAGCCCTCCACTCGTCCCTATCCTGAGCCAGATCTATCCAATTCATATCATCCCATCCTATCTCTCTAAGATCTATTCTAATATTGTCCACCCACCTACGCCTTTGTCGTCCCTGTGGTCTCTTTCCTTCCGTCTTTCCCACCAATATCCTATACGAATTCCTCGTCTCCCCCATTCGTGCTACATGCCCAGCCCAGCTCATCCTCCTTCACTTGATCGTTCTAATTTTACTTGGAGAAGAGTCCAAGTTATGAAGCTCCTCATTGTGCAGTTTTCTCCAACCTCCCGTCACTCCCTCTCTCTTCGGTCCATATATTCTCCACAGCGCCCTGTTCTCAAACACCCTCAGTCTATGTTCCTCCCTTAATGTCAGAGACCAAGTTGCACACCCATACAGAACCGCAGGAAAAATTATAGTTTTGTATATTTTTGTGTATTAACTATAACACACTATAATAAATAAATAAATTCTCCCCGTCTTTCAATATAATTTTAATGAAAGGAAACGGAGAGATTTTGGTTCTTGCATTCAGAAATCAGCAGCTGTTCACTCTAAGACGCACTGAACACACTAACTGATGGAATATTAATTCAAGCTCATGATCATTCAGTGAAAAACCAGGAATTCCGTTGGGTAATAAAAACTAAATACAATTTATTTAAATGTGGAAAGGTCACATTGAACGCTTGACCGACTTATGTGGAACGCTCTCTGAAGTTCAGAATAATTTTGTAAACCGTATATGTCACATTACATATTAACAGTTAGATAAAACAGTTTTACAGTATAATTTAAACTGTATCCACTTCTTATTTGAAAACGTCAAATTGGGAGACATACATTACTTGTCTGTGTCAGGAGGAGCTCTTAACAACAACACAGCTGATACTGTAAGGTCGAAGAGGCGGTGTAGCGGTAGCACTCTATTCGGTTACAGTTTCCACTAGGTTACCGGGTAAACTAAATGAAGTCTGTCATGATTTTTTTCAAACTCTACAGACAATAGGGGTACGCGGTGGCGTAGTGGGTTGAAGCACTATGCTACAAGCCGGAAGGTCGCGGGTTCGATTCCCGATGAGGTGGATTTTTTTTTCGGTTTACCAAATCCTTCCAGCCTCAATATGGCCCTTAGGTCGACTCAGCCTGTAACAGAAAAGAGTGCCAAGAATCTTTCTGGGGGGTAAAGGGCGGCCGGCGCGTAAGGCTGACAACCTTACCGCCATTTGTGAGCTGATTTTCTAGAAGATGTGGGAGCCTATAGTTCTCAAAACCCTATGGGCCTCCACGCCCTGTCACAGGGATAATTTTACTTGCAGACATTATTTCGTAACTTTATATTGCAGCATTCTGTTACAATGCACAGATCTGACTTTACGCTTGGCTTTTATGCCGTCTATGTGCAACGTCGGTTACTATTCACTCGTCATTTTTCTTTATTGACACTACATGTTTCGGCATAACCGGACATCATCAGGCGTGCAGGCTGTTGTGTTGAAGGTACCTGTTGTTCACCACAATGCTGTTATGTTTGGAACAACAGGTTGTTGTGATTAAGGAACCTGTTGTTCACCATAATGCTCTTATGTTTGGAACAACAGGTTGTTGTGTTTAAGGAACCTGTTGTTCACCATAATGCTGTTATGTTTGGAACAAAAGGTTGTTGTGATTAAGGAACCTGTTGTTCACCATAATGCTCTTATGTTTGGAACAACAGGTTGTTGTGTTGTTCACCATAATGCTCTTATGTTTGGAACAACAGGTTGTTGTGTTGTTCACCATAATGCTGTTATGTTTGGAACAACAGGTTGTTGTGATTAAGGAACCTGCTGTTCACTGTACTGCTGTTCTGCTCTTCTTATGTAGTTGCCTCAGATTGCTTCTAGTTATGTGGGTTAACCAGCTGTTTTATTTGGATGTCTTTAATCACAATAACCTCACACCTGAAGATGGCCTGTTAGGCTGAAATATGTAATGTTAATAAAGAAACATGACAAATGAATAGTAACCGAAGTTGCACATAAACGACATAAAAGCAAAACGCCAAGTCAACTCTACAGACAAGTTTGGGCTTGTTCCTTAAAACAGGCCATAAACGTCTCATGAAGTCCGATTTCCGAGAGTCGACTATCTTCCCATCACAATAGACGCTATGTGTAGGGTTGAGTTGGGCCTATGTGAATTCTATTTGTATGGGGAAGGTCTGTATTCTTTCTCCTGTTTTCTCTTGTGTGTGTGTGTGTGTTTTTTTTTTTGTATTTCAGGCTATACTTTAAATTCATTATGTGCTCTTATTTTTCAAGAATAGTCTTATTCTTGTTACTTTCAGATCTAGTTGACCAGCCTTCTGCCCAATCCGATATTTCCTAGGATTTGCAGAGAATCATATGCATGAAATTCTGAACGGTGGAAATGCACATGAATATGAGGGTTACAGCCAATCGCTTACATGTACAAGTAAGATGGTCAGCAATGCATTCAAAGATCTCAGAAGCAGATATATGTCACTGTATGAAGTGGTACTGGGGCGGGTTTTCTCCGAGTGCTTGGGTTTCTCTTGTCAATTCTGATTCCATCAAACATTCCGTATCATCGTATCATCGACGCTATGTAGTCTCGATACTGACAGCGTCGTTACACAACGGGCTTAACTAATGAAAGAGGGAAACGAAGTAGACATATACATTTTGTGTTCCGAGACCTCAATGGAAAAGACTACTTAGAAGTCAGGTCTATATGGCAAATAGTATTAAAGGTGAACAGGTTAAGTGCAATATGTGGCATAAAACAGGTACAAATAGCGGGGCTGTATGATCATTCGAAATCATAGGAATCAGGTGATTTCTTGATCATATAAGTGAATACCATCTGATGAAGAAAGTCCTTGCGCTATGGAATTAATTATTTATCTGTTTAGTTAATAAATATTTTAGTTAAACCTCCAATCCAAGAAAACCGGCTTGGTATTGCAACAAATGTACAACCATCGTTCAAACATTCAGAAAAAGTATGGCGACAATTTACTAAAATATTTTTATTATTTCAGGATCTGAACAAATATCGAACTGATATTTAAAGTTGTGGTTACATTTCATGCACATTGCCATTTGAATAATGTTGGAATCATCGCTTATTTATTAGGATATGGACATATTTATTCATAGAGATATTGGGTTTTCAGACTTTATCCATCGCCCCATCTTTAGGATAACTAAGAAAAACACGACGTTTCGGAAACTGGACCTGTTTCCGTCCTCAGGTGAGGGAAAACACCTATTCTGTTGGGTCCCTTAGAAAGAGCTAGCCTCAATCACTGGACCAGTGAAATGGATCTTTAAAAATAATGAGTGAGGTGTGGACTAGACTCAGTTAACTTAGGATAAGGTTCAGTGGGAGCGCTTATAAACACGGTAATTTATTTTCGGGTTCCATAAAACACGGGGAATTTCTTGGGTATTATCTTCTTAAAACGAAATCTATTCCACGGATTTGATAGAAACCACCAGTACGAAAGCTTGCAGTTGTTTCCGCACGCCTTGTCCACTAAATAGCTCCCCCTCAGAAGCGTGACCCTTGGCAGTCGGACCGTGTATCCGGTCAGGCAACAGGTCCCTAGACAAAGATAACCACGTAGCAAGCTGAGTTACTGACCCTGTACTGACGAAGGGGACTTTCTGGGATTCCGCGACGAGATTCAACTTGCTCGTCAGGCAGTCTCCGTCTTATTAACAGCGACTGGTTACGGACTGGATGACCGAGAGGTCGGAGTTCGAGTCCCGGTATGGTCAAGAACTTTCTCTTCTCCATTGCGTCCAGGCCGGCTCTGGGACTCACTCACCCTCCTATTCAATGGGTACCGTGAGTTCTTTCCCCATGCGTAAAGAGGCCGGGAGTGAGCTAACCACTCACCTCCAGCTAGTGCCGAGGTCAAGAAAATATGGATCTATACATCCACTCCCCCATACGCCAATATGTTTTCATGGTGTAGTGCTTACTTAGTTAACATAAGGAAAAATTTACGTTTTACCCTCCATACGTGGAGGTGTTCACACACAGCATCGTAGGCACACACAAAATAATCGCCTATTGTAAGGCGGTGGGGTTTGCCACGGTCTCACAACTTCCATTTGCTTCGAATAAACGCAGAGTAGTTGCATACAAAATA